TTATTTATAAATACGTATGTCAAGTTATATTTTTATTACTACGTAAAATATATTTAAGAGTTTACGACCACTGTGCCGGGTGAGACGTTGTTGAAACAAAAAAAGTTATGCATTCCATCACGTACATAAACAGTGTCGTAATTCGCCAAGTGCAAATCAGCAAATTCGTAAAATTTTTGTTTATTTTCAACAATCCGGATAATCGAAAATCCGGATAATAGAGGTTCGGATAATCGAGGTTCTACTGTATAAGTATAGTTTTTGAAAGCTTTTGTACAAAAAGTCAGAAAGTAAGCTTAGAGAAAATCGGGTGGTAATACGGAACCTTACTGTATATTTTCAAAAAAAAAACAAAAAAAAAATGCTTTAATGTAGCCAAAAACAAATAGGAAAGTACAAAGCATGTTAAATAATTACAAAATCATTTACTGTACTCCAATGTATTTTAACGCAAAAATGATTTAATAATTATAAAGAAACGTGGAAAGAAGAAGCTAATCATTTACAAAAATGACAAATATAATGTTTCAACATCAGCACAATCTTTATGTGCCCACATAGCGCACATTAGGCATTGCACCCATGGCAACCCATCAAAAAACAGACAAGCAGTGTCATCTTTAAAGCAGGCAAGTCAAAAGGAGATACAGTGGAACCTCGGTATACGACCTTAATCCGTTCCTGGTGTTTGGACTTATACCGAATAGGACGTATACCAAACCAACCTTTTCCATAATAAGTAATGTAAAAATGATTAATCCGTTCTCNCTGAAGAAGAGTGCCTCAACTGCAGCATCACTCCGGTGGCGGTGGAGAAAATCGAAGGTAAGCGCAATCCGGACAACCGCGATTTCCCTCCAGCTCCTCGCTCACCACCTTTGGTCTTTGCAGTGAAAGAAGGGGACAAGTTGTGTGCCTTCAGAGACGACGACGACTGCAAGTTCTTCTTCACCTACAGGATCGATTCGGACGGTTACGTCAAAATCCACGTGCAGAGAACTAAAGGTGAGGATTTCGCTTTCCCCGGACGGGGTCGGCCGTCGCCGGTCTATTAAACAGAGAGGAACTGCTTTCAGATTGTCCGGAACCTGTCAACATCCTGGCCATCGTTCTGGGAGTGATCGGAGGAATCGTGGCCGTGGGTCTGGCCCTGCTGCTGATCTGGAAGTTGCTGACCACCATCCACGACAGGAGGGAGTTCGCCAAGTTCGAGAAGGAGAGGCAAATGGCCAAGTGGGACACGGTGAGTTTATCTCTTCTTTGGGTCGGGACGTATCTGGTTCCCCAATGACGAGTGCGCTCTTTCTTTTTCAGGGAGAGAATCCGATCTACAAACAGGCCACCTCCACCTTCAAGAATCCCACTTACGGAGGCAAGCAGTGAGCCCCAACCGTCAGGCGTCTAGTTTAGAACCACTCTAACCCTTTTCTTTTGGCTAATTTGCGTCTGTTCTAACCGGGTTTCGGTCGGTCCCCGTCTAAAGATCTGATAATCCTCGTTTTTAACCTTTTCGTTTTAATTTATGTCACGCGTGGGTCGACGGGTCGACCGGAGGGCCCGGTCGGCCTCCTTTTCCTACTTTTTAATCGCGGTTCGTCTTCCGTTTCCGGCTCCGGGGGCGGGCCGCTTCCGTCCGCCGCGGCCCCCTCCGTCTTCCTCGGTCGTCGTGTGGGGCGACGGCTCCCCGACGGCCTCGGCGCCCGGCAAGCGGGGAGCGGGAGAAATTTCCCGTCCGCCGCCGCCTCTGGCGCGACGCGTGGCGGACGGCGCGTCGCCTTTTGTACAGGAAGAACGGCGGTCCCAAGGGCCGACTTTTGTAGAACCGGAAATCGTCTTCCGCTTTTGTTATTGTCCGAAGCCAAATCGTTTGTTTAATAAAATTATTTAATACCGAACGTCTGCCATTTTATTCCTTAAAGGGGGAAAGGGAAGAGCTTCTGTCGTTTATAGCCAATGCGGTGGATGGGAAACTGCGTTTTCTCTCCTAACTATTTTATTCATTTTCCGAAATATGCATTTCCACTCTGGGATTAGTTCGGTCATATCTTAGTAACAGGAGAAATATTGAAATCCTCGACATCAGTGGCGTGCAGTGACATTTGATGATAGGGAAGCTGTGCTTCTGTAAGAAGCCGACATCCAGGGGCAATCAGTCAATTGCGCGGCAGTGACGGTCTAAGGCCATTCGTATCGTTTATTCGATAAGCCAGTAAAAACCGCAGACTTCTCTATATGCATTTTTAATATCACAATTACATTCCGAATCGCTAGTCACGATATAAGGGCTACAATTAAAAATAAAATAATGAAAACTTATTCGGTGAAATAAAATGTGTGATGGATATACATACCTGGTACAAAATATTCTTCAATTGTACCAATATACTTTTAAAGAAAATTATAATTAAATATAGCTTTTTAAAGAAACGTACATGAAAATATAAAATATTCTTTACTTTTTAATTAAATCTTAAAACAATGCACTTAGTCAAATAGCTCCCTACGAGTGACTAATGGATGGAATCGAAGACGGTTGCGGAGCGCGTATACACACCGACTGCCAAATTCCCGGGGTGCCTATACCGGTCAATGTCAAATACCTCTTTTGTCGCATCACTAGTATATCTAAAATGACGCGACAGGGCATTTGTAGATTTTAAACGTTTCTTATCATAGCTGTAAAAATCTAAATATGTTAAACTTAATAGTCATTTGTTTTCTAACTAATTCGTTTTAGGACCGAGTGTCCTCAGAAATTTCCAAAATTTACGACTTTTCGGTCACTCGTCGAATTGGAAAAATTTGTCTTTATTACATTAATAATACGAAGAAATCAGTTTCCACTGTACTCGGCTAGAGATGGTTCGGTTAAGCTTTTGTTTAAGTAAAATTTCGGCTTTTCATCAGGGTTTTGTTTACGTCCCCAATTTCCTAATCGCTTAATTATTTAACTACTACTTAAGTAGAAATAAGTCGAAACCGGTTACTTCGTACTCGAATATTTGTAGTCGCGGGAAAAAAGTGGAAAGACAAATTTTTATGACAACGATACATAAATCGTAAATGTAAAGAAAATAAATTCTAGAGCTTTTTTTGTACCTCACATCTCTCCCATTCATTAAATTTAGTTGTAAATGACGCTGTCAAAGTAACGGTTAATTTTTTTACCTTTTTCCAGGATTTTTCCCGTTTTTTTTCTACATCTCCTTAGAGATGGGATGTACGAAATCGTAATATCACCGGTTTAACTTCAAAATCCGTGAGTAATATAAAATCGGAGAGCGGAATAAAAATATCAAATATTTTAATGGATTTTTTAAAACACCCGTCAACTATACAGAACTATCGTAAAAACATGCCAGTAAATTCTTATCGGTTGGGTTAAGTTATAAATCTACTCGCGATTCGCGTAATCGGGCGCTAACAAATATCTAGCAGGCAGGCGCTAACAGCCCAGAACCGGTCCCGGATAAAATCGGATGCGGTATACGCGTAGCATCCACCCGAGATCCTAGGCTTTTACCGGCTAAACCGAGTGAGATTGGTGCTCTGTAAAGCGCGTGCGCGAATCTGGCTTTTCGNTAATTATTTATTTAATAATAAATAATAATCCCATCTTTACCGCGAACAGAAATGATTTTACGGGTGTATCGTTGTGATTTCGTGTTAATAAATAAATAAATACAAATATAATTTATCGTTTGACAATAAATGTTAACGCTAATATTCGGTTACTATTCCGCATTCGGCCTATTTTTCGCTATTCGGCCGAATACCTAAAAACAGGAGTAAGAAATAACAAAAACACAGTAAATTAATCAATTTGAAATTTAGATTTAATGTTGTCGGATTAGTGTTGTTTTTTTATATTTATTTATAACTTATAGCATGCACAAAATAATAAAAAAAATAATATTAGTCACATGTATTCACAATTTATAATTACAAAGATCAGCACACGTACAGTACATATCTATTTGTTCGAGAATCGTTGCACATCCGAGGGTCTGACTCTGCCTATCCTTCTTTTTAAGCGCTCGTTTTTGCTCTTCCTTTTCTCTTTCCTCTATCTTTCTAGTCCACGTATGCCTACGCATACATCATAATACGCGCTCACGATACTTTCGATTCGTCACTTTTCCATCGTAGTTTATCCATTTTTATAATTTGGATTGTGAGGAATATTTACCATTTAGAGAATTTTTACGCGTAGTTTTTGTACGGTACGAATGAAAATGTAGTAATAAAACGCAATATTTTTTGTTTGGAAGCAAATTAAATCAGGTTGCAACATTGTGCATTCTTTTGTATTGGACTAAATTATGTTCAATACTTTAGTTAATAATTAAATAATAACATTTGTTCAATATTGTATTGAACAGTTTGTGACGGGGTGAATACTCTTAAGAAGATCTCAGAAATTATGTCAATGTCGTTCTAAACAGCAAATTTAGTTTAAAAATAATAAATTTGGACGAGTAAATTGTCATGATAAATAACACTGTAGTAATTTCATTAATCTTATGTTCTGAAGTTGTAATGTTAGAATTGGCCTCTATTCTTAGTCCTATTTTTGTACTTGGTGTGAATGTTAAATATATTTTGGTTAATTACAAAATTATACTAATTAAAAACAAATAAAAGATGTTTTTGTAAATGTAACATTAATTTCCTTGTATTTATTTAGTACGAATGTTATTCAATTTCTTTGAATTAGTATTTAATAACAATAAATACTAATATAAAAGAAGTGTGAGCGTGCAGCGTAGTTATGAGTCTGATGATATTTACGTAAATAATCTGAAAGTGAAATGTGAGACTCTATATATAACTACGGTAGAGCGTCGATTATCCGAAAGTCAATCATCCGAAAGAATTTCAGTCGGCAAATTTAAATTTTGCTGGTGCTGTGGCGCTGCAATCTTTGGCTATGTCTTGGGCTACTCAAATATTTTACGTTTTTGATACTAAATTAACATCTGAAGTATAATTTTTTATTGTTTTTATATTTTTCAGTAAATTTATTTTGTTTGTACAAAATAAAAAAATAATTTTTAACGATACAATAGTCTTCGTTAGGCTTAACATCGACGAAAATTCAACGCGAAGCGACACGCGACGGAGAAAAATTTTAACATGGGATAAATTAATATATTTTTTCGTACACAATCGGTTATCCGAAACATTGATCTTCCGAACAACCCCAGTCCCTAATTGATTCAAATAATCGACGCTCTACTGTAATATGATTTTGAAATTGTTGATTATAATTATTATATAAAAGCATTTTTTATTTGACGATATAAAATATATAAATACAAAAATTACTAATATAAAAGCCGTCGTCTGTGTGTGAATTAATGTGATATCGACCACTCTTTCGTAGATAATGACACTATCTACGAAAGAGTGGTCGATTGTATTACTATATCGAGTTGTCGCTGTATGAAGACTGCTGTGTTTATGTACAAATTGCACTCTAAACCGCTTATGCGGGTATGAATAGATCGTTAAATAAAGCACACATACTGTAGAGCAGTGTTTTTCAACCTCTAACGAATCGCCGCTCCCTTCAATAAAACCGTTACGTAGTATCGCCCCCTTCATTTCAAAATTTCGATGCCGGGACCAACGCTAACACCAAATTCGTACTGCATCGTATAGACTAGTGACTAGTATAATGTTATTTGTTTAATTATTGTACGATATAAGCAATAAAATATCTAATTATTCTTAATATAATGTTTTACTATATCGCCAAAAAATTGTTTTTCGCCCCCCAAAATATAAATTGTTACTAATAGCCCCCTCAACATGGAAAAACGCCAACACGAGGGCGATATCGCCCCTGTTGAGAAACACTGCTGTAGAGTGTCGTCGGTGCGTTGTGTTCCTATTAAATTTCATTTCTCATGTTTTATCTATGTAATAAGTGAATTTCGGTGAGGATATCCGATGCTTTCGTATTATGAAAGTACCATAATTGTATATTATTTAAAGATAAGAGGGGACAGAGAGGATTAACACTATTCATTATTTTAACTGTTCCCTACGGTTGTATACGCGATATATCGATATAAAGACAATGATTCCACTAGCGTAAAAACGGGCGTAAAACCCCTCGCCGGGAAAGCTTCTAATCCCGTGAACGTGATATTTTAGGCCCGAGCGGGTCGTAAAACCAGCGTAAAAACGAGTCGAGCAGTGTTCAACTTTCGACGCGAATACGGCCGTGAAACGTCTAGTATTCACCAATCGGAAGTCAGTGAAACTAGGTCATTGCGACAGGGTGCGAAAATGGCGGAAAACCAGCTTTTGTATACGTTCCCTCGCGACTACTCTACTGTAGAATAGATCTGGAAAAATTTATCGAAAGCATCCGAAAGTATTCGTGTATCTACGATAAGAGGTATCACGATTATAATAATGGATGCTTAAAACACGCGATACAAACGGCCAATGGAAAATTCTTCAATTTAGAGGAGTACATAATAAAAAAGCTAAGCTTACAAATGCTGTATATTATCTTAATAATACGATAACAAAAGTTAATATATGAAAGTAAAGATATTATTTTTACTACATTGTAATTATAACAAAAGATTTTAACACACTACAGGAACTAAAATAATTATTAATTCATAAAAACACCGATACCCTTTGCTTGTGACCGATCGAACTTCGCCTCTGTACGCGACTATGCAGACGCGAGCGACAAGAGTATCTAGCGAGAAGCGATAAATATCAAACCCTGTCAGATATATGCGAAAACCAAAATTTAACTTTCGCCAGCGATATTTCTCGCTTCTCGCTCGTGCAGCTACTAAATTCGCGTCTGTATAGTCGCACCCTAACATAAGCGCTGTGGTTTGCAGACCGTTGCCGTTCCGTTTTA